GTTTATATGTTTATGTGTTTTTATGTTAATATGTTTTATTTTAGTATGTTTATATTATATGTCTAATATCCACTTGTAAGTGAGTATATTCCATGTGTGTCTTTTTGCTTCTGGGATATCTCACTCTGGATGACCTTTTCTAGTTCCCACCATTTGCCTGCCAATTTCATAATTTCCTTGTTTTTAATTGCTGAGTAGCATTTCATTGTGTAAATGTACCCCCATTTCTGTATCCATTCCTCAACTGAGGAACATCTGAATTTTTTCCAGGTTCTGGCAATTACGAATAAAGCTGCTATGAACATAGTTGAGCAAATGTCTTTCTTGTACACTTGAGCATATTTTGAATACATGCCTAGGAGTGGTATAGCTGGATCTTGAAGCACGTTTCCTAATTGTCTGAGAAAGCAGCAGATTGATTTCCAAAGTGGTTGTACAAGTGTACATTCCCACCAGAAATGGAGGAGGGTTCCCCTTTCTCCACAACCTCTCCAGCATGTGTTGTCACTTGAGTTTTTGATCTTAGCCATTCTGAAGGCTGTAAGGTGAAATCTCAGGGTTGTTTTGATTTGCATTTTCCTGATGATTAAGGAGATTGAGCATCTCTTTAAGTGTTTCTCTGCCATTCGATAATCCTCTATTGAGAATTCTCTGTTTAGCTCTATATCCCAATTTTTATTAGATTGCTTGATTTGTTGCTTTTTTTAAACTTCTTTAGTACTTTATGTATTCTGGATATTAGACCTCTGTAAGATATAGGGTTGGTGAAGATCCTGTTCCAGTCTGTAGGCTGTTGTTTTGTTCTGACGACGGTGTCCTTTGCTTTACAAAAGCTTTTCAGTTTCATGAGGTCCCATTTATTAATTGTTGATCTTAGAGCCTGTGTTGTTGGTGTTCTGTTCAGGAAGTTGTCTCCTGTGCCAGTGAGTTCTAGGCTCCACCCCACTTCTTCTTCTAACTAATTTAGCCTGTCTGGTTTTATGTTGTCGTCTTTGATCCACTTGGACTTTAGTTTTGTGCAGGGTGATAAATATGGATCTATTTGCATTTTTCTACATGTTGACATTCAGTTAGACCAGCACCATTTGTTGGAGATGCTGTCTTTTTGGTGGTTCTATTCTTAACTAGTGAAAGACGACATTTTTAGTAGTGGAACAGTAGCTTCCCCTCACCAGTACAGATTGAAGAACTAATGGAGAAACCTGGAGGCATCATAGTGCCATGGTGTAAGGCAGATGATGGTTTTACAGCCCAAGCTTACAGGCTCCGGTTCAAGGTACTGCAAACCATGCTGAAGCTGTGTATGTAGGTTCTGAAGCTGTGTATGTAGGTTCTGAAACTGTTCCCCTAGGAACAGTGTGGACAAGAAAGTTAAGCTCTGAGTGACCACCAGCTCCAGTAACACCAAGGTGGTGTCTGAGTGGCTGCTTGACCAGTCCTATGGCTCTCTTGATTTCGGATGCTCATTTTTTGTACTCTGGATGGAAAGTGCTGGTGTTTCAGGGTTTTGAGAGCATGGCTTTGGCTTGAGGGTTTGCTGTTTTTGTCTTCAGCCTCGTTTAGTTGCATCTGAGTTTTGAAAATGTGAACTTACCTCTTAGGTAATAGAAAGTGTTGCTGTGTTCGCCTTATAACATTTCGATAAAAAGTGAACTAGAATGGGATGAACAAAACCATAATTCAGTTTTGTTTTCAGCATAAATATCAAATGAGCTGTTTGATATTGAAAGTCTTTAAGGGCGTGGATACTTTTCTACACTGTTCTTAAAGTTGGTTTTAGAACAGAAAAAAAAAAAGTTCCCTTATTAAATCTCCATCAAGACCAGAAGGAGACAACAGAAAAGGACAGCTAGAAGCCAGGGCTCTGTAGCACTCGGACAGTCAGGGGTCATTGCTTCTCCCAACTCCCACCCTGTGGGTAAGACGACTTTGCTTCTGTGCTTAGTGGGCTCTGGGGCTGGAAAGCCCAGTGAATTCCCCATTATCACAGCTCCTATGCAAGTATCTCTTTCCCGGCAGCGGGACAGAGATAGTATGAAGGGTTTGTATTCCTCAAGGGGGAAGCCATTTACAGAAGTACACAGCAATGTTAGTTAAGTTCATACGTGCATAGCATGCACCCTTGTGCAGCCCGCCTCAGCCATGCGCATGGGATTTTGCAGAGTGTTACAGTCCAGTGTAATGTCAGGATGATAAATGGCCATTTAGTGGACCAAAGAAATAAAGGGTAAATACTTGACCTATTTTTTTTTTAATCTCCAATTCTTGTATGTTTCTTTCAGGTGCTATGACACCAGTCAAGAAACTAGAATTGCTGATTTTAAGCATGGAAGGACTGTTGTCAAACGTAGTAGTGATAATCTAATTCCCTTTTCTTCCTAAATACACTTTTAAATTTTACTAAAATAATAAATAACACATCTTTCTACAGAGTAGAGTGATGTTTTGGAATTTCTGCACTGTGTATTGATCAATTGAGGATGACCAGATCACATGTCACCTTAAACATTTACCACTGTTTTGTGATATCTGGCTGTAACTGACTTTGGACCCACTATCCAGTTTCTCTCCATACTTTTTTCTTCTCTGCCTTCCTTGGCTGCTGATGACCATTACTCTTGCTGGTTCTAGGAGCATTCGTATATTTCATGTGGAGTGAGAACACACTTGACTGTTTATCTGTGCTTTATTTCACATAGCAGGATGGTTTCTAGCTCCTTCCATGTTTTGCTGATAATTTTTTATGAGTTCTTTTTTTAATTTTTTTAATATTAGTTACAGTTTGTTAACTTTGTATCCCTGCTGTATCCCGCTCCCTCTTTTCCTCCCAATCCCACCCTCCCTCCCTCATCTCCTCCCTGCCCCTTTACAAGTCCACTGATAGGGGAGAACCTCCTCCCCTTTCATCTGATAATGGTTTATCAGGTATCTTCAAGACTGGCTGCAATGTTCTCCTCTGTCGCCTAGCAGGGCTGTTCCTCCCTCAGGGGGTGGGGGGAGCTCAAAGAGCCCGCCATTGAGTTCATGTCAGAAACAGCCCCTGTTCCCCTTATTAGGGTACCCACTTGGATACTGAGCTAAAGTGTAAGTTTGTGTAAAATATTTATTTGACTTACTATTCACATAAAAAATCCTGGTCTTTTTATACATCTTTAATGTGAATTTTTGTTTGTTTTTGTCAGTAGTGAGAAAGTGGAAAAATAAATAAATGAATGAATGAATAACTGAATAAATAAATAAATAAATAAATAAATAAATAAATAAATAAATAAATAAATAAATAGGGTATATTGGGGATAAAAATATGAACTTTTAGTTTATAGGAACTACGTTTTAATGTAGACTTTCAAAATTTGGCACTCATCCCATACATAGAGAGAAGCGAGCTGGAGGTTAATGTGAGTGGATTTGATGCATGCTCTAACTAAACTGTCGGCTTTGGGCCTTCATTTCTTCCACTGGGTTAAATCGGGTGTAGCGTATGCCGGCTTTCACCCAGCGGCAGCTGCTGAGCCCGTCCAAAACCTCTCTGTGCCAGCAGTGGTTTCCCTGTGGCTCTCCTCCGCGACTGAGTGAGAACCAGCAGGTGACTGGTGCCACAGCAGGGCGATCACAGACAGGTCCAAGCCTGTCACTGTGTGATGGAGCCTCTCAGAGCAGAGCCCGACTCTGCTCGGGGGCAGCACACGCAGAACTTTTCCTTTTATTACCATTTTAAAAAAATGTACTAGAGGCCTCACTTTGACTGGTAGTTTTACATATTATGGCATTAAGATGGGGAGCAAGGATGTTTTGCGCCATTCGCTTTGTAAGGTGATTATGGATACAAGTCATTATCACTAAGAAAATACTGATATGTTTTGTATTTTTACACTGATGTTTGTGACAAGAGAATCTCCATGAACAGGGTGTGATTACCCTGAGCCATGAGGTCCGAAGCCTTTACAGCGTACAATCGGCACTAATGATTCCACTGCCATGTTTGTCTAAGACTTTCATCTACCTTGTCTTGTGGCTTAAGGCTTACACCTTTGCTCCTAATAAAGGAAAGGGGGGTACTTAGCTAAATCTCCCAACCATTAAAAACAATTGGCTTTACAGCCTCTTTCAAGTCCCCCTCAGAGAAAGCTACCCGAAGAAAAATACTACTTTGATGTGTTGTGGGGCTTAATCAGACATTTTAGAGTAGCAAATGAGAAGAAAGAAAAATCCCAATAAAATGCTTTAAAAATTGAAAGTCATTTGATAGAGTCTGAGCTACAGTCTGCAGCGATCTTGGAGATCTGCCAGCGCTAAATAGGATCCAGTTGGTGTGGACTGAAGGGTGCCTGGCCACCAGTCAAGACAAAAAAACCAAACCTCACCAAATAATGTGTTTTCTCCGTAAGTGACAGCTAAAAGATGTTCTCTGGCTGTCACTGCTGTGAGTATAGGGGTAGATAATTTACTTTAACATTTACGTGCGAAAGAAAGTTGTCACCCCATGCTCTAAAGAAACCAATTGAAGAAAAGAAAACAGAAATTTGAATATTATTCTAATGAAGCTTGATATGCTGGGAAATATATCTAAAAATGTGGGGGATTATCAATGCGCTTTAAAAGAAAAGTCATTTGCTGGGAGCCTAACTTGCGTTCCTTAGCAGGTAAGGGAGCTACCTTTACCAGCTGAGCTATCTCTCCAGCTCAAATGTTTACTTTTATTACTATCTTTGAAGTGTGTATATCTGTGTGAGTGTGAACATTCACCAGGGTACAGGCAGTGGAGGCACTAGAAATGAAAGCTGGGAGCTAAACTGAGATCCTCTGCAAGACCAGTCTTAGCTCTTCACTGAAAGCTGCAGGTGTGGTGCACACCTTTAGTCCCAGCACATGGAGGGCCGAGATCGTCTGACGCCAGCCTGACTGCAAAGCAGGTCTCGGGCCAGCTGGGGCTACATAGTAGATACTGTATCAAAAAAAAAAAAAAAAGTTCCTCTGCTGCTGTTAATTCCCAGGAAAAGGAAAGCGGCTGAAGCAAGCTAAGGAAGAAGCTGTGGCCGAGACTGACCAGTACCGAATGCAGAGAGAGAAGGAGCTGCACGTGAAGCAATCGAAGGTGAGGATGACACCAGCCCTGACTTCCAGGGGCTCAGGTGGGGTCCTGTGCCAAAGGGTGAAACAGAATACTGGAGCAATCTGCTGGGCTTCCGCGGACACTGGCCGGCCAAGGCTGCATGTACAACTAAATCTTAAACAAGCGACTTACCAATCTCACTTTCATGCATAAAGGCTACTCGGTTGCTGTCTGTTGGATACTGAGTACCTGGATTCATACCATCACACAACTGAAAGGGTTAAAGTACTCTTACCGCAGAAATGCGTTTCTCGTGGATTTCATGTTTAATACCGCAGAAATGCGTTTCTCGTGGATTCATGTTTAATAACATTATCAGTGACTAATGTTCAGGCTAAGATGAAGAATGAACCTGTTGGAGCAGCTCTCTTTTAGCGGATACAGGAAGACACTTCTAACTGTGCCACGTACCCTTGTAATCCTTGGGGGAGAAGCAAGAGGACCTGAGCTCAAAGTATCCTGACCCTGTTTCAAAAACTAAGAAACAAGAAAGCCAGTGTTCTTTCCTTATGATTCCTTGGCAACTGGATACTTGCATTCAGTATTTTTTTTATTTAAACATATAAAGACATCTGGCTTTTTAAAACACACTGTCATTTTTAAGTGTATGCAGTTTGTAGTAAAAGACAAGTGTATGATGGGATTGGAGAGATGGCTCAGTAGTCAAGAGACTTCGTGCTCTTCCAGAGGCCCTGGGTTCAATTCCCAGCACCTATATCTGGTGCCTCACAACCACCTGTAATTGCAGTTCCAGGAGATATGAATTTTTTTCTGGTCTCTGCATGTACATACAAATATAAATAAATAACAAAATAAAATAATAAATAAAAATAAGAGCATGATATTCTCAGAAAGGTCACCATGCCATGTTTCAAATAGGGCTAGAAGAAAACATTAAAACTCTATGTATCAAAACTGAATTTATGTGATACACTTTGTACCATTAAATATTAACATAATACTATTCAGAAGGCATTCATTGCAAAACAAAGCACAAGAATTTAGATGTTTTTGTTTGCAACTTTTATCTTAAGGGGGAATACGTAGAGAAATCATGAAAATTCAGATTTTGGTCCCAGTTGTAAGAAGAAAAACAAAACTTTCTCAATAAGTTCTTTGTTCAAATAATTGTCCTTTGTAGGCTAGGAACATAGCTCAGTGATAGGGTTTTTAACTAGCAGGAGTTAAGCTGTGAGTTCAGAAAATAAATTCTTTCTATCAATGTTTGGAAACCCAATTCCTAAGCTCTCATCTATGCATATAGGTGCAGCCCTCATGACTGGCGCTTATGTTTTCTGCATATTTTAAATCTTTTCTATTATAATTGCACTTACTCTTTTCTTCCTTAGGAGACAGGGCATCCTACCTCCATGGGGCCCTCACTAATACTTCTTCTTGGCCTCTTCTGTTTAGATGTCTTTCTTTATTCATGTTTAACTGTTAGCCTCTTTCACTGACCACATTATCTGAAATGACCTCTCTTTTAAAAACAAAGGATAATAATATGGTCTTTGATTTTTCTCCATTGCATTTATCACTGTATGATATATTGCATATTTGAATTTATTGTGGTTGTCCATCATTCTTTCTAGACAACTCTAGAAAGCATGGATTCATTGTTGTGTTCTCTATTGTTTCCTTAGACTTTCTACTATTGCTCCACAGTAGACACTCAATAGACCTTTGTTGAAAACAAATCAGTAAGCATTTCTCTGTGTCTTGTCCTTGCTAGCAGAGCCTGTCATGAGAGTGACATATTAGAACCCAGAGGACAGCTATCACCAACAGGCCAGTCTGATTATCTTCTGTAAGTGCCTCTGATATGACCACTGCATTTAATGTCAAAGTAAGAACAAAGCTGACCATGATTTTAGAAACTGGTTGGTTTAAACCTCATAAACATTATTTCATGGGAAGGATCCAGTCAGATGTAGATCCAACTAGAAATTTTCTCTCTGTTTGGACAATAATTGAACCTCCTTATCACTTTAAGAATAGACTTTGAAGGCATTTTCACAGTTAAATGATAAAAGATGCACATATGAAAGTAACCAGAGCTGGTGTGACATCAAACATAACTACAGATCTTCTCTGGCATGGTCTCCTGGTGTCAGCAGCTTGGTCTGTGCCCTCACCTTAAATGTTTCAATTATAAAGAAAGTATCAAGCATTAAAATGTCTTACCATCAGCATCAACACAAGGCAAGGTTTGAAAATCGGCACATAGAAGTTACGTGACTGATTGTAGAGGTCTTCCCCCCTTCCATCTGACCCTAGTCTATCAGGTCTCATCAGGACTGGCTGCATTGTCTTTCTCTGTGGCCTAGTAAGGCTGCTCCCCTAGGGGGAGGTGATCGTAGAGCCAGCCACTGAGTTCATGCCAGATCCCCTTACTAGGGAACCAAATTGGAAACTGAGCAGCTTTATATGAGCAGGAGGTCTAGGTCCTTACCATGCATGATCCTCGGTTGGAGAATTGGTCTCTGCAGGGTCGCCTGGGCCTAGGTTTTTTGGCTCTGTTGTTCTCCTTGTGAAGCTCCTGTCTCCTCCAGGTCTTTCTATCTCCCCCTTCTTCCATAAGTTTCCGTGCACTCTATCCAAAATTCGTCTGAGTCTCAGCATCTGCTTCGATACCCTGATGGTTAGAGTCTTTCAGAGGATCCCTGGAAGGCTCCTGTTCTGTTCCCAGTCTTCTCCTACTGCTAATGTCTATCCTGTTTGCCCTGTGGACTAGGAGAGGGGCATAGGGGGAAAAGAGGGAGGAAGGATGGGACTGGGAAGACAGGATGGGCTACAGCTGGGACACAAACTGAATAAATTGTAATAAATAATAAAACATTAATTAATTAATCAGTTAATTGATTAATTAATTAATTAATTAAAAATAAGTTACATGACATTCTTAGCCCAAATGTATCATAGCATGTTATGGAATGATCAACTTCCAATTTATGATATGCCTCAAGTGTTCAGGCTTTGGACTACTTGAAGTGGAGAACACAAGAACTGAGTTCTCTGTAATACTGGAGAGCCACTGACTTCGGTAGTATATACTGAGCATAGGCAATAGTTTGACAAGTATTTCTGCCACAGTTTTTAACCATGTAAGACAATTAATTGAATTTTTGTTTTATTTTTATAGGATTTTACTTAAGACATGGAATTTAGAAAAAAATTGCATTTCATGGAATTGTTTTGTTAATTAGTTATCAACTATTTTTAAACATAGAGTTAACTCTATGTGAAATTTTCTTTTTACACACTCAGTTATCACAATCCCTTTGAGTTACAGTTATCTTGGCTCTCCAGAACTGCAGCTTCTCGGAGTTATACTTTGATTTGGGTTGTTCTCCTGGTACCTGGAATATAAACAGAAAAGAACTTGGACCCAAAGTCTGGCACTAAGTTTTATTTCAAGCTTAGGGACCAGAAAATTTCTAGACTCTAGATTAGCAGTTCCCAGCCTTCCTAATGCCGTGACCCTGAATACAGTTCCTCATGCTGTGGTGACCCCAACCATGAAATTATTTTCATTGCTACTTCCTAACTGGAATCTTGCTACTGTTATGGATCGTAATGTAAATATGTACTATGCAGGATTGTCTGATATGCGACTCCTGTGAAAAGGCCAAAACCTAGAGGTTAAAAATCACCAATTTAAAGAGAGATAAATTATAAGCAAACCATTGCCTTTTAGAAAAGAATAGGTCTCAATGTTTCACCGCAGCGTTTCTTTAACTTGATAACTTTCTTCGTTACATTAGATTTTAGTCAAATAATGACTTGATGAAGATGCTAATAGGGATGTTCAGCCTTCACAACCAGGGTCTTCATGATCTTCTCTGTTCCCAGAAGAAAAAAATTTGGCAAAAAAACCAAACCAAAAAAAAAAAAATCACACCGTAGAACAACCATCAAAAAATATGCTGAAGTTCATAAAATAATTCAATTTAACTGTTTTAATCTGGCATATGTTAAGATAAATCCCACCTTTTGTTTCATAGATAATGGGCTCTCAGAGCCACCTCTCAGAAGAAATCGAAGAACAAACAGTGGAAAAGATAAAAGAATTGAATGGAAGCTACAACAGGTGTATGGAGAGTGTGCTTAAGCAGCTGCTGAGCATGGTGTGTGAGCTGAAACCAGAAGTGCATGTGAACTACAGAGCCACCAACTGAGGGGTGTTCAGACTTCCAAATAGAGAGAGTGGGGGATATGTCCTGTTAACAATTAAGGTTGGATTGTGCATCTAGAGTTGCCTGCGTCTCTACAAATTCTCATGTCACATATTTCATGTGTAGCATTGAATTAAAACTAAATAACACAGTGTGATCTCCCCTGGCAATGGGTAAAGCTGGCATCTAGATGAAGCAAGTTAAGGAGAGGGAGAAACTTGATTTTGACACTTAATCAGAAAACAATGACTGTAGCCTTATTAGGGTATATTTTCACTTTTTTTTTAAGATTTATTGCTGAATAGTATTCCATTATGTAGATGTACCACAATTTCTGTGTCCATTCCTCAACTGAAGGGGCATCTGGGCTGTTTCCAACTTCTGGCTATTACAAATAAAGCTGCTACAAACATGATTGAGCAAATGTCCTTGTTCTATACTTAAGCATCTTTGGATATATGCCTAGGAGTGGTATGGCTGGATCTTGAGGAAGCAGTATTCCTAATTGTCTGAGAAAGCTCCAGATTGATTTCCAAAGTGGTTGTACAAGTTTACATTCCCACCAGCAGTGGAGGAGGGGTCCTCTTTCTCCACAACCTCTCCAGCATGTGTTGTCACTTGAGTTTTTGATCTTAGCCATTCTGATGGGTGTAAGGTGAAATCTAAGGGTCATTTTGATTTGCATTTCCCTTATGACTAAGGACGTTGAGCATTTCTTTAAGTGTTTCTCTGCCATTCGATATTCCTCTATTGATAATTCTCTGTTTAGCTCTGTACTCCATTTTTAATTGGATTAACTGGTTTGTTACTGTTTAACTTATTGAGTTCTTTATACATTCTGGATATAAGCCCTCTGTCAGATATAGGGTTGGTGAAGATCCTTTCCCAATCTGTAGGCTGTCGTTTTGTTCTGACAACAGTGTCCTTTGCTTTACAAAAGCTTTTCAGTTTCATGAGGTCCCATTCATTGATTATTGACCTTAGAGCTTGTGCTGTTGGTGTTCTGTTCAAGAAGTTGTCTCCTGTGCCAATGAGTTCAAGGCTCTTCCCCACTTTTTCTTCTAACAGGTTTAGTGTGTCTGGTTTTATATTGAGGTCTTTGATCCACTTGGACATTAGTTTGGTGCAGGGTGATAAATATGGATCTATTTGCATTTTTCTACACGTAGACATCCAGTTAGACCAGCACCATTTGTTGAAGATGTTCTCTCTTTTTTTTTTTTTCTTGAATGGTTTTGGCATCTTTGTCAAAAATCAGGTGTCCATAAGTGTGTGGATTTATGTCAGAGTCTTCTATTTTATTCCATTGATCCACAGTCTGTTCCTATGCCAGTACCATGCAGTTTTTAGTATTGTTGCTCTTTAGTACAGCTTGAGATCAGGGGTGGAGATACCTCCAGAAGATTTTTTATTGCAGAAGATTGTTTTAACATTTCTGGGTTTCTTGTTTTTCTATAAGAAGTTAAGAGTTTTTCTTTCCAGGTCTGTAAAGAATTTTGTTGGTATTTTCATAGGAATTGCATTGAATCTGTAGATTGCTTTTGGTAAGATGGCCATTTTTACTATGTTAATCCTGCCAAGCCATGAACAGAAGAGATCTTTCCATCTTCTAATATCTTCTTCGAATTGTTTCTTCAGAGACTGGAAATTTTTTTCATACAAGTCTTTGACTTGCTTGGTTAGGGTCACACCAAGGTACTTTATGTCCTTTGTGGCTATTGTGAAGGGTGTTGTTTCCCTAATTTCTTTCTCAGTCATTTTGTCTTTTGTATACTGGAGGGCTACTGATTTTTTAAAGTTAATTTTGTATCCAGCCACTTTGCTGAAGGTGTTTATCAGCTGTAGGAGTTCCCTGGTAGAATTTTTGGGGTCACTCAGGTCATAAGTGGATATTAGATATATAATATAGGATAAACATACTAAAATCTGTACACCTAAAGAAACTAATCAAGAAGGAAGACTATGGCTAATATGTTCCATCCCCATTCAGAAAAGCAACAAGGATGGACATCAGAAGAGGGAGAAAACAGGGATCAGGACAGGAGTCTTCCACAGAGAGCCTCTGAAAGGCTCTACCCTGCAGGATGTCAGAGCAGACACTGATACTTATAGCCTATGGGCAGAGTTCAGGGAATCTTGTGAAAGAAGAGGGAGATAGTAAGACCTGGAAAGGACAGGAGCTCCCCAAGGAGAGCAACAGAACCAAAAAAATCTGGGCCCAGGTGTCTTTTGTGAGACTGATACTCCAACCAAGGGCCATTCATGGAGATAACCTAGAACCCTGCACAGATGTAACCCATGGCAGTTCAGTGACCAAGTGGGTTCCATACTAATGGGAACAGGGACTGTTTCTGACATGAACTGATTGGCCTGCTCTTTGATCACCTCCCCCTGAGAGGGGAGAAACCTTACCATGCCACAGAAGAAGGCAATGCAGCCACTCCGGATGAGACCTGATAGACTTGGATCAGAAGGAAGGGGAGGACGACCTCCCCCATCAGTAGACTTGGTGAGGGACATGGGTGGAGAGAGGGACGGAAGATGGGATTGGAAGGGGAGGAGGGATAAAGCTACAGGGGGGATACAAAGTGAATAAACTGTAATTAATTTTTAAAAAAGTAAAAAAAAAAAGATTTATTTATTTATTCATTGCATATGCACCAGATCTCATTATAGTTGGTTGAGAGCCATCATGTGATTGCTGGAAATTGAACTCAGAATCTCTGGAAGAGCAGCCAATGCTCTTAACCTCTGAGCCATCTCTCCAGCCATATTTCTTTTTATTGGCTTAGAAGATGCTTTATTAGGTATATTTCCCATGTAATAATTTTTAAAAGGAGAACATAATTATATTCTTTTATTTATTTTTATTTTTTTATTAATTACTCTTTATTCACTTTGTATCCTCCCATAAGCCCCTCCCTCCTCCCCTTCCCTCTTCTTCACGCATGTCCCTCCCCAAGTCCACTGATAGGGGAAGTCCTCCTGTCCTTCCTTCTGATCTTAGTCTATCAGATCCCATCAGGAGTGGCTGCATTGTCATCTTCTGTGGCCTGGTGAGGCTGTTCCCCTTTCAGAGGGAGGTGATCAAAGAGCAGGTCAATCAGATTATGTCAGAGACAGTCCCTGTTCCCATTACTATGAAACCCACTTGGACACTGAACTGCCATGGGCTACATCTGTGCAGGAGTTCTAGGTTATCTCCATGCATGTTCCTTGGTTGGAATATGAGTCCCTGGGGAGACCCCTGTGTTCAAATTTTCTGGTTCTTTTGCTCTCCTTGTGGGGTTCCCGTCCTCTCCAGATCTTACTATTTCCCACTTCTTACATATGATTCTATGCACACTGATCAACAGTTGGCCATGATTCTTATATACATCTAAAATGAATATGTTAAGACTTTATTTAATAATCAATGAGAAAACCATATGACTGCACTGTTAATCCAAAAAAACATTTCTAAAATCTTGTGATAACAGAGACAGAAAATAATGTTACAAGTGACCTTAGAAGAAATGGTCCCATCACTGTTATACCTTTCTAACCTAAAGTAACATGATGTTATTCTCTTTTAAGTACATTTTTAAAAGAAAAGGTGATAATCTGAAAGTACAGATAGCTGGACAAATTCTGTAGTTTATAAAGAAGTGAATCCCCAACATAAAGAATTAACGTGCCATTATCCTGGTCTCTATATTAAATGAGCTAAAATCCTGAGAACTGGGTACTTGGTTAGTTCAGTGTGTAAAGTATCTTAGTCCTGGTGTGGGAAAAGTGAAAGTCCCTGGTCATGAATGACCAACAGAGCCGCAGAACTTGATCTGGAGTTGCCTGGAAAACAGCTGCAGCTTGGGCTTCATCCTGGAAGTGTGACATCAGTGTTTAGTCCTTTCATTACTACAAAGCTGCCTTCCAGGGAGGTCTCTAAACAGGCCCTGTTGAGGATACTGGACACTAGCAGTATTATTGGATTTTTTTTTTTGAGACAAGTTCTCACTTTGTGGCCCTGGCTGTCCTAGAACTCACTCTGTAGACCAGACTGGCCTCAAACTCAGAGATCTGCATGCTTTGACCTCCTGGGTGCTGGATTAAAGGCTTGCACCACTACACCTTTTACTAGTATTGGATTTTCAAACATGATATGTAGATAAATTTTAATTCCCATACAATCAGAAGTTAATAAATATTGTCATTATTTATATCCAGTTGAGAATCTCAGAAATGAACAATTTGATATTCAAATTTGATGAGCAGGAGAAAATAGAAATTCCGTTTGGTTCCTTACTTTCCCAACTTTATGAATAAGGAAAATTAACAAGTCAGTTTCTTGGCTTTATGTGATAAATTTCTCAATTGCAAAATAAAATAACTTACCCCTTAATAAACAGAAAAGTCTAAAACATTCCAAGGAAGCCTGTCTCTAATGTATGTTCTACTATTGAGGAGACTAGACATCAAGTAAAGGTGACCTTCTTGATTCCCCCTCCAGAATTTTCACTTGAACTCAGATTTGGAGGACGTAAATACGGAGGGAAAGTAGGGAAGAGTGCTAGACATATAAAGTGATGAGAGCTGCCATCAGCTGTGCTATGGACAGTTCTGAGCACAGCCTGCGGTTTACAATGCATGGAGAGATTTTGTCTTCTTTCTCATCCCAAGTAAACAAACAAACAAAAAAAGTCAATTTTCTCCGTAAGGAAGTTTAAGCGTATTATCTTAAATACAGATTAACAAGTTTCTGAGACCACACAAGCTTATCTGGGGGGGCCCAAGCACTTTAAAAACATCAACGTTAGCACACAGTTTTTTCTCACAAGTGAGGCAGCGCCACAGGGAGAAGCAAGAAATGAGACCTGGGGTTTGGCAAGCTGTGTCTGTCCTGCATGTACCTGTTGCTCCACATGTTCTGCTGGCAAACTGCTCACTATCCATGTACCTCAGGCTCTTCTCCACCAAGAGAATGATGCACAGTTAAGGAGTCTCTCCTAAGCACTCTAATATTA